ACCCGTGAGTGCAGTTCGTTGTCAGCCGAGTCAACATACGGCAAGCAATGCAAAACGTAAGGAGCCCAGACGAGGAGCTGGAGCAGTTAGTGGCAACTTGTACTTACAAAATTGCACTGACTAATACAAGAATTCAGCAGCATTCACTTGGCGAGATGGCATTAAAATATGTCATTAAAATATGGCATTAAACATTAAAATGTCAGAAATGTGGTGTGCTACATTTTAAAGAAGAAAAAGAGGACGAGGCGAAGGATTTTCATCTGAACTGCAATAAGAACTTAGAATGCATATACTGTAGTCAACGATCGAGCTCAAGACCAACGTCGATACAACGACGCAACTTCTAACGACGTTGCTATATTATCCTAATTTATTATTCGTGCGAATTCGCACAGGTTCATCTAGTACTTATTTAATACGCAAGCAAGTTGATAGTGACAATTACTCCTCCGAAACTACTGGACCGATTGACATGTTTTTTATGTCATTGGAAAGAGCGTAACGTGAAGTTGTGCAGAAAACTTTCTTTTTAGGGAAATAATTAGAGGGTAAGGCCCTGGAGCCCTTTAAAGTTTCATATTTTTCCATAAGATTGACATGGGGAACAAATATTGTTATGCAACTCCAGCTGTTTTCGGAAATTAAAAGTGAGAAGAAGAACATATGTTAATTGTAAACAGTCAATAAGTTTGCTAATTTAACAGTTTGCTACAAACATTTACTGACTTGGTTGAAATGAAATATTTACTATTTAAATTTGGGTTGGCGTAAATATTACAATGAAAAAATGAGAGAGCCTGGATAAATTGATATACTAAAACTAAAACTGAATTAACACTGTGCTGCATTTCTTAGTAATAATTGAACGAGCCGATTTGCAAACAATAGAAACATAGGAAAGTCATAGAACACCACCAAGGAGAAGAAATAGAAATAATGTGTTTTTTTTATTATTATGGACAACCTAATGCGGCTATGAGTAAGGTTATTTGTAGAAAACGCTAAAAAAACAAGATCAGCTTTTGTTTACAAGGCTTAAAAAAATATTTACAAGAAATGTTGATTAAATCCATCTGTCATGTACTTCTTGAGTATTTCACAATCTTTGAGTCGAATCTTTTAAAGTCATAAAAAATTATGACTGTTATTCGTTTTAAAATAATGCATGTAACTTTGTGCTTAGAAATTGCTCGATTTCGAGCAATAGGGACACTAGTTTCACTAGGTAAAAAGAAATGGCACGTACCACGGTCACCTTTAACTACAGGCCGCGGCCTGGTAGAATTGGCAACGTCGCAAGTGGTGTTTTTTAGTGACAGACGTCCCATAAGATAACATGGCGAACAGGTAACATCAGCTCATTAATTCGCGATTCATAGATTTAAATTTAAGAACATACATTTATTAAAATATTGAAAATAAGACATACAGAATTGAAAACCAAAACAATGTGAATTACAAATCTATATCTGTACATTTTAAGCAGAGTCAATATTGTCATAGTCCAGTAATCAATGTTTCGTAAAAACAAAAATACCATTAGCTGCTTCCAAACAAGGCCCCACTAGAAAAACAAATTTTTCTAGTGGGGCCTTGTTCCAAACAAAACAGCTGTTACTGTTAATCCTAACAAACTTTGTTTTCAAGAGGAGTCGCAAGCAGAGAAATTCGGCTTAGCTATATAAATTTGAAATACTTACTTTTTGATTACTGCACATAGGCCTAATAACTAAGCTAAACTAGTTTGTATACAATAACTATACTATAAGAATGGAATGGTTATTTATTCACGTCACTCTTTTCAACGTAATTTAATATGACCGTGAAAAGAAGTTAATGTATTTCATTTTTGTTCATTCAAACATAATATGCATTATTGTTCATTCGGTAACAAATTATGAACAGCTATTGCTGGCAAAGGTGGACAAAATACCTGTTGTAAAATTTAGTTGTAGGTATCTGGTACAAAGTATTTCACTGTTTGTCAAAGTTTTAACCTTTGTGAATTTAAGCTAACCCATGAACAGTTAGTAGCCTACTTGGGAAGGTTAAGAAAATATTAATGAATAACGTACAAAGAAGTCTGTTAGGCCTCTCGCACTCGGAATGGCTTTAATTTGCAGTTTCTTAGAATATCCTTTCACAACAAGCAATTCATAAGGTGTCGGGTAACATGGTTCAGTTCACTTTCGTGTGATTCCCCTCTAATATCCAACATAACTATTGTTTTGATTTTACTTTGTAATCATAATAGACAAGCTCCTGGGTGAAATGGGGGGAGGTACAATTCCAGGGGGTACAATTCCGGGCCATACATATTCTTCTGCGGTCACCAGGGGGTACAATTCCAGGGGGGTACAATTCCGGTCCTATAAGAAGGGCTAGACTGCCGGGGGGTACAATTCCACCCGTACACTGGCCAAATAAAAGTGATCTCTAACTGAGGGGGTACAATTCCAGGGGGGTACAATTCCGGTCCGTGCAGCTTTTTAGATGCCAGTGGATTTAATCAAACCATATGCATATCAATATCAAAATTTTATGAGGGGGGTACAATTCCAGCCCGTACACGCCGTTTTGGTCGAGAAAATGAGACGTCATCGTGACGTCACTAACCTGCAGGGGGTACAATTCCAGGGGGGTACAATTCCGCCACCCCTGGAAATGTAGTTGTCCGCAATGTCAACCCCGCCCATATAACGATTGTATTCACAAATGACTTTGGGCTTCATCACTTCCTCAGTCACACCGGATTTGATAACTCTAGTGATTTTTTCACTACTATTGTCATATCCAGTAGATAACATAGTTACATTACGCTTATCACGCCAAACTAAGACCATCGATTCATTTTTCCGGAGGGCGACTGTCTCATGATGACCTAGGTCCTTGACGGCATCTTTCTTCACAGCATCAGGTAACCCAAGTCTACCTGGCATTATTGTGCCAGTCAGATGCATGTTAAGTTTTAAGAGCTCTTGGCCTAGAAAATAGCTAGTGTAAAACCTATCAGTAAATACATGTAGACCTGTACTGTCATTATTTTCCAACAGTTTATGAACTAAGTGGGGCACAATCCTCACGATAAAAGGCAAGTCTGGTCTGACAAGGTTCTTTGTTGTAACAGAACCAAAATAAGGTTCCAAGGCACATATACAACCAGTCGACGAGTCACATAACACATTTGATAGGCTTTAATTTGTTATAGCACTTAAACAAAACCTTTCCCTTAAAACCAACCGTGCTTTCGTCGACAGAAATGTTAGGTCCAGGACAAAAGTGTTCTCGGAACTTACTGTCCAAGTAAGAACCAATTTTCCTGATTTTTTCAGCTCTAGTGGTTCTACTTGGTGTTCCACTTGTGTCACATAGCATAGGTGCATAGGTAGCATTGCATAGGTGCGCAAAGATGAAGGGTCCAAAATAACTGAAAAAATCTGTCCCGTGAAAAAACATCTTTGAAAAAGGGTTGTTTATCGAGCCAGTCTTCCGAAAAATGCTCTCGTATTTCACATTTCTCGTGCATTGCCATATTTATAACAACACCAAAAAAAGCCTTCATTTCTTCAGGAGAAACATCCTTCCAAGTGTTCCAAATTGAACGCTTTTGAAGAGGCGTACTTTTGTGTATTTTTTCGGATGCCTACCGATTGGTTTCAGAAGTTATTTCTGCAATCAATTCATCCGTGAAAAAAAGTTGCCAATAATCTAGTTCAGTTTTCAATCCCTTATCTAAGGGAGGCCTAAAGTGTGCATAATTGTTATACATATACCTAACTGGTGGGACATCGTTATCGCTACATTGTTCCCAACCGATGTTGTAGTTTGGTTTGGGCCTACGACTATTCCCTGCTCCTCTAGGCCTACCTCTACCTCGGACTGAATTTCTGCCCTGCCCTTGTACAGGCCTACCCCTACCTTCACCTGAATTATTGCACCTACCTCTAGTCCTACCTCTACTGCGACCCCTACCAGTAGTAAAACTTGGTCTGCTTTTAGGACTAACATGCTGACTAGGCCTACCTTCAAATGTATTTTCAGGTGTAGTAGTAGTGTCTGGAGGTAAACTTATTTCATCATTCATAAAAACATCCTCAAAGTTGTCACTTATTGACAGCCCAGTCTCATTTGAATCCAAATTACCTGCATTACATTCCCCATCTTCACTGATTAGCACAGGTGTGCTCAAGCTCACAGCCCTAGGCCTAGCCCTCTCTAAGTAGGTTTTATGTTTCCCTGGACAGTCTCCTTGACCAACTTCCAATGGTTCACTTACTTCTATAGAATTTTCATTACTAAAACTATAAATATCCAACTCCTCGTCTAAATTAGGCCTAATTTCATCGTCATCTGTAAAGAGCATTTGAAGTTCCTCTTCCACAACATTTTCGTCCAATCCGTCGTCATTCACTAATTCTATGTCATCACCGATGCTCATACCACTCACATCACTATCATAGTTTTTCTCCAATAACTCACAAATATCATCATCACTTATTTTATTTTCCATAATTACAACATTACACTAATTATTGAGTAACGTAAACACAACACGAAACAACAACATTCAACAACAATCTGTTGCAGACAGACCAGACGGCTGATGCAAGTACAAAAAAGTTTATAGAATTTAGCAGCCAGTAAAAGTAAAATAAATGCATAGAGTAAGACAAATAACTGATAAAAGTATCAAAGAATGTATATTACACAATTTCACATGAAATCAGAAACGTATATTTATTTTAGGTGACTTTTAAATGGGGTTACGTCACGGCGAGTATAGGTCGCCATTCGAGCGTTTGCGGCGCTGGCGTCCGGCGACCTATACTCGCCGTTCGACCGCAAGGGGTTAACAGTTATCAATTTTATTTATCGGTGTTTACATTTACAGAGGATTAAGCGAGAAAATGTCTTGTGATTTTATTTTAAGTGTGTGTTTTACGTGATGTTATTTTACGTGTTTTATGTGATGCACTAATTACAAGGTGTTTTCTTACCTGAATCCAACACCCAGCTCAAACCTTCATCATGATTGATCAACATCCGTAAAACATCCAGTAGTGGTAGTAATATGGAGGAATTTTGAACCTCTCTTTTTGAGATGAATTCTTTAATCTTTGGTAACATATGCTTTATTGTTGTGAATCCAAAAGGTGTAGAGCCAACGATACCAAACAAACAAACACTGAATTTTTTAACATCGTCAAAGAGAATATTTTTGTGCCATTGGTTCAAAACTGACTCAAGCCACACACTGCAGTCTTTCAATACTTCAGTAAAATCTGAAAAAAATAGTTATTAAGTTATATTTACCATGTTAATTTAAATGGATTGGTGTATTTAACTCAAAAGGTAACACTCAAAGACAATAAGTGGCGGAGTCTTTAGAACTGCAGATAAACCACCTCAAAGATATTTGCTGGGCCTTCTTTTCCTGGTGCTCATCAATGACATCAACAAGACCCGTAGTTCCATACTATTTGCGGATGAGACTACGCTTCTCACTAAAGGTAAATCAAATGAATAACTTCAACGTACCACACCAGAATGAAACTTACACCAATTTAATTAATAATTTATTTCAATTTTTAAACCTACACCACACTAGGGATTTAACTACAATATTCAGGTCCAGGAAGCCAAAGCGAAATTTCAGATAAACAAAAAGCTTCAACAGAATGGAGACAAAACTCAGACAGGTTACACACTCCTTTGTACCCTCGGAGACTCCTCGGAAGACATAGCAACAATAAAGCTTCTTGGTTTCCAGCTGGACAGCCAACTAGCCTAGAACGACCACACTGTCCATGTCACCGCACAGCTTGTTCGGGTAAACTGTCTTCTAAGGCACCTCCAGAATGTGTCACTGAGCAGTACTGCTTATGGTACCATGCCCTGTTCCATTCACACATGGCGTACCGGTACATAATAAACCTTTGGGCTCACAGTTGCGTTGTAATTAGTGGTATATTCGTCCCTTCATTGAAGGTACCATAACCAGGAGAGTCAAAGCTTAAAAAAAATTAGATTTGTAAAAAGGGGCATGTTTGGTTAAAAGTAATCCTTGTTCTGTTTATAATCATTAGTCATTATTATGTGGTTATTGTTATTGTTATTGTTTATCGGCTACTAGCAGTCATACCCGTGCTTCGCAATGGGAAGAGAACGCAAGAGAATAATTATTCTACATAGATTTGCTGAGGTAACAAAACTGGCTTAGCTTCTTCCATCCTGAAGATGAGCTAATATGACTTTTTCTTTCACAGGATCCCATAAACGATAACCATTGTTTGCATAACCAACCATGATCATTTTTGAGCAAGTTAACAAGTTTAAACAAGTATCACAAGGTTGTTTACATGGAAATGTTGATGAATGCCCCATCCGTCTATGTAATAAAAGTTGATTGTCACTACCTTTAACAACATTAGCTTCAGAGTTGAAGGATAAACCTAGTTTAACCATGTATAAGTTACCATATATCTGACCTTTCAGAATTACATTCCCAAGAGGTTTTTCAATGGAAACCTTATTTTCTGAAAATATTACAGAATGTCCCTGTTGCTCAATTCTACGCACAGATGATAATAAATTTCTTGTAAGGTTCGGACATTCAATGACATTTTCGATTGTTACACTTTTCCCGCTTGGTAGTAGTAACCTTAAATCACCACATCTAATAGCCTTTAGTTGTTGACCATGCTTGGCCACTTGAATATTAAAATCAACATCTTTTACATTTTCAAGAAATGCTCCAGTGATAGAATCAACCAGATGATGTGTAGAACCAGAATCTACTACAAAATTCACTAGAGTCCTACTATGGATACTACTGAGAGCTACATCATCTTCAGTCACAAAACATGCGTCATTATCTGCTATATGAGATCTAAACTGTTTACCTTTTAACTTAGGACAGTCTGCTTTACGGTGTCCTTTTTCATTGCACTCATAACATCTAAATTTAAACAGTTTGTTTCGCTCTTCACTTTCTTTAACCGAAAATTTAGATTTCTTTAAGAACTTTTGTTCCTTTTGTCCACCAAAAACAGCAGTATCGTGTACCACTGAACCAAACTCACCTTTCATGCGTACTTCTTCAGATAACAACTGACTTAAAAAAGGTGAAATAAAATAACTACAGTACAAGTTACTGAGTTTGATAATTTGAGGGCATAGAAGACAAAAGTGTCGTTATTATTTCCTGATTGTCCATTGTTCCACCAGCAGACTTAAGGTCATTTACCAAAGATTCCAATTTTGTGAAATAAGACAGTAATGAGCTCTCACCATTGAACTTTAAGTTACCCAGTTCCTGTTTTATTCGTACTTGCTCTCCAATGCCAGTTGTTCCATACGTCCTCTTTAGGAGATTCATCATCCCTTTTGCTGTCCTCTGGCCCTTGATGGTCGACATGATATCATCCGTGATATGCTGTACTATCAGACCTCTTGCTTTGACATCTTTTTCCATGAAGGCAGACCTTGGTCCTTCTTCTTCAGGAATTTCTTGAGTCAAGACATCTAGGACTTTATACTGACCAATACCAACTCTAATCTGAACAGCCAATTGCCAAAATTGTGTCCATCAAAAGGTTTCAATACCAAAATTTGAGTTCCCATTGCCATTCCAAGTCAACCTTATTCTCAATTTAGTAGCCCATAACCTGTTATTAGTAGGAAACTTTAAGACTTGGATGGAAATTAAATTTAACTTTTAATAGACAGAACAGAACACAACACCAATACAAACTGAACAATTACACATTATAAATAATGTCATATGTTTCATGATTTATATGACATTATAAGCAGGCTTATTGAAATTGCTTTAACACAAACGACATGACTTTTTCGCAAAAAAGTGTTTTTCCGCAAAAATTACTAAGTTTAATAACTAAAGTTAGTTAACTTTTAATACACAGAACAGAACACAACACCAATACAAACTGAACAATTACACATTATAAATAACTAGTGAACCTGTGCGGCTCAATGCCCCGCAAAAAATATGAATTTAGAAAACAAATTCATCGTGTTATATATTGACTCGTCGAAAATTAAATACAGTGAAGCAATCCAGCCATTTTCTAGCTGTATGCGTATTATATTTAGTAAATTAATAAGTGTTCAAGTTCAAGTATGTTACAGGGTAGTTATTTTTTTTAAGATTTTTAAAAACACATTTAACAAAACATTTTATCTTATCAAACCAATAGGCAGTGAATGTAGCATATACCTATGTAGCATATTTTGAGGGTTATAAAATGCTGCTTGAAGAAAACACTTTTAAAAATAAACACTAAAAAACAATATTTTTTTCACAAAAGCACTTCCATAAATACTACGATTTTAGTCTTAAAGTTACCTTCAGGAATATAACCCTGGTCAGAATTTTCCGTAATGAATATGCTTATCCTACTATTAAAAGATGTAGCCTTACTTAAAACAACATATACAGTATATAGTTGCTCATGACTGAAATTGGTCTGGCTAAGAACATTGCTGCTCTTTAATTGAAGTGTTTAATAACTAAGTTAACTTAGGCTATCATTTTTGGAATCAGCGCTAAACAACTAACAGTTAAGTTTAAAAACTAATTTTTTTAGTGCGATGGTAAAACTGAACTTAGGCTATACTACTTAGGCCCTATGTTGTATTGAATTTGTTTTGCCTTATCTAAAATCTATCTATCTTATCTAAAAGTTGGTTGGCCTACTAAGTGTCCAGATGAGAACTTGAGGCCTTACTTTTCTAAGAAAGATGCACTGACTCTACATAATAACTTTTAACTGTCTTCTGTGGGGAATAAGAACTGTTATTCCACCTAAATACCGAACTTACATCATGGACTACTTGCATGAATCTCACAATGGCATGGTCAGAATGAAGTCTGAGGCCATGTGTGGTGGCCAGGTATGGATGCTCTAATTGAACAGACGAGTCACCGTTGCCGTGAATGTAACTTGTTTGCTAAAAATTTACCAAGTAAAACACATCTAGTCAACTGGCCTAAAGAAAGTGAACCTTGGAGTCGAATCCATTTAGATTTTGCTGGACCATTTTATGGACAAATGTTTCTCTTAGTGATTGACGCTTTCTCGAAATGGCCAGAAATAGTACCAGTAATAATTTATTGCCTGCCATAGTCTTTCTGAATAATTACCTACAACATATGTTTTATTCTTTATTTAAAATATTGTAAATATTGTCATTGATTGTTCCCTTTGTAAAAATACAGATCAGTTTAATAATTGTCCTTGTCTTAAATATTTTTTACATTTGGTGCCGAAACCCGTATAAAATGTCTACCAGGAAATCTTCTAGGGTAAAGAAATTACCTGACAGGTATACTCCCCCAAGTAATGACTTAAATACTGAAAGGAATTTAGACAATACCAAAAATAATGAAAACCAAGAAGACAATAAGACATCATGTTCTCATGGTACTAGTAAATCTTCAAAAGCAAGTCACCGCAGTAGATTACTAATTGAATTGGAAAAAATAGAAGAAATGAACAGACTGGAAAAAGAATTAGAACTAAAAGAGATGGAACGTCAAAAGAAATTAGATGAAATGGAACGTCTAAAGAAGTTAGATGAAATGGAACATAAAAAAAATTTGATGAAATGGAACAACAAAGAAAATGGGATCAGAGGGAACTAGAACGCCAGAAAAGACTGTTGGAGGTGAGGGCTGAACTGAAGTCTGCATGGGTCAGTAGCAGGCAAGACTCACTTTCAGAGGTAAGATCTATTATAGGCTTAAATGATGACTTAGAAGAAGAGTCCCATAACAAAGTTGAAAAATGGCTAGATGGCAAAGAACAAGAGTCCAATGTCGTTCAAATGTCATCATCAGCTATTGTGTCTTCAGCAGTAGAGAAGTTAGCGGATTCTTTTAGACAAGCCATTCATTCAGATAAGTCAAATACCATTCAATCCTTGCGCAAACACCTTCCTTCATTTGGTGGGAAACCGGAGGGTTGGCCTATATTCTATTCCGCTTATGAAAAGACAAAGGCTTCCTTTGATGAGGAGGTCAACCTCATCAGAGTAAGAAATTCACTTGAAGGCGAGGCTTTCAAAATGGTAAGGCCCTTACTTGTTGTGGAAAAAATATGAATACGGTAATATCCACTTTAAAAATGCGGTTTGGCAGGCCAGAATTGATTCTGGAATCAATGCAAAGGAAGACCAGAATGTTACCTCCAGTCAAGGAGGAAGACATCAATGGTCTAATAGAATTCTTTACTTGTGTCCTTCATTTTACTACGACAGC